TATATTTTACAAAATTCATAAAAAAATTATGTAATAATAGTATCACTTATAACTTTATGGATTATGAAATTCAACAAATAATTAATATTTAAATAACTAAATAATGATATTATTTAAATAGATAAATAATATTGTAAATAACTAATTTTAAATATTTCAATTATTAAAAAAAGTAACTAAATACTATTTAAATATTATTTAAAAACAAATAAAATATATTAAATTAAGAAATTATGCTACAACGTTATAAATTTTATCAAAAATATGAAAATAATTATAATAGATTTAATACTTTTTATAATAATAATATAACATATAAATAATTTAATTTTTTTAAATATTATTTAAATAATGAAGAAATGGATTAAATAATTTAGAGTATTGAAGCTTTCAAATAACAAAAATAGGTAATMACTTTCAAAAAATGTGTTTAATAGATATTAAAATATAATAATAATTTCAATTATTGATACACTAATAATAAAAACATCATTTCACATATATCAGTTAATAATTCTAGAAAATAACTTTCAAAAAATTGATATTTATTAATATATATTTATATATATATATACTAAAATTTATATTTATTGGAGATTGAACCATTGCTATTTATTAGAGATTAAACTATTAGTGTAGCTAAAATTAGGAGTGTTCACGGCTTGGTTCGGTTCAGTTGTAGGTTGTTTGGCCAACCAAATTGACTTGGTTGGGTTGGGGAGTTAGTCACCCGAAACCAACCAACCATTTACTAAAAACCAGCCAACTTGGGTTATAGTAGTTTGGGTCAATTTTCAATTTGGTTGGTTGGTTTAAAAGATTCAAACTTAAAAAATTAAATTTCAAAATTATAGTGGTATTATTACAAATTAAAATAAAAAATTTAAATTTACAATATAAAATGTTTTAGACTAAGGAATATAGGAATTTTCCCACTTACCCATATTAAAAATTATATTTAATATATAAGCATATATGGTCAAGTTGGTTTAGTTTTTTTCGATTTACAAATGGCCAAACTGAAATTGACACGACCTGGTTAGGTTGGGAAATTGTTGAACCGAAGCCCACTAAAAATACTAGAAAATTGACTTACTCAAGTCAAGTTAGGTCGTGTTGGTCGGTTTCACTAGTTTGATGAACAACCTAATTGAAATTAATTATTATTATTTTTGTATTATAAAAAATTATTAAAAGCAATATATAAAATATAACTAATTATTATATATTTAAAAGGTTAAAATATAAAATAATTGTCTACTCGTATGTGCTTTCATTGTTTATATTTCTCTTAACAAAGCTTGTACATCGCACAGGTCCTTGTTAGGTACAACTTGAGTGGGTTGGGCCCGATTGAGGATCAATCCAATTCTAAGTCTCAAACCTCAAGCTCAAGCTTGGTCCAATTCAAGGTTAAGCCTGATTTTACCAACTTAGGCCCAACTCAACCTTAACTAAGAATCTCGGGCTTAGGGATGATAATTTCTAGTACCCGGTGGGTATCCACCACTACCTATCTCAACGGTTTTTTTTTTTTAATGAAGGACGGGTTTTGGGTCAAGTTGGTTTTTGGGATTCTACAACCCATACATTACGGGTAGGGTACAGTATTAGGCTAAACCC